CCTCCAAGATTCATTCGAACACCAGCGCAAGTTCAGGTATGTGCCCCACTGATTTGATGCGCAAAGGCAGGAAGGACTGAGGAATGTCAGTGTCACAAGGCTTTCCCGTCGATATCTTAATGATACGGATCATCTAATAAAAAGTTACTAAGGCGTGAATAGCCTAATTCATTCGTGGCGTTGTTCTAAGAAGTATAACCAAGAGATCGTGTTGTAATCAATTATGAATCTATGAATCATTTCCATACCAAATATAATAGTAGGGAACACGTGATGATACAGGACCACTGGCAATCTTTGAAAACTCATATCATTCAGTTATGTGCAAATCGTATCAATTCAGTCTTTTTTCCTTCAAACAGCTGACAGTGGTGTAAAGGAAAAGATTTATGAGGCGTCCATATGAAATATTGGTTTCCGAAACATACTTTTTATGCGCAAATCAAGGACAGTTGTAAATCTTGGAAACCACTGATTAGAAGTCACTGATCATTTTCATCAGTTTTTCGCTCATATATTTTGCCATATTATGTTACGAATTCTAGGCGATACTCCAAGCCACTCGTAACGAAGTCGACGAGAACTTCACGACATGTTCGTTGAAGCGTGAAGATTCGCATTCAGCTGAGGATAATTCCTCGTTAGATATATCATCGTCATCTCGTGCCGGCCAGTTCGATGAGGCACCGGTGGAAACGACAGTATCGCCCGAAAGAAAACACAGCTTAGAACAGGTAGTGCACAGGTTTTCCCTTCGTGTATGTACGTAGGGGCTTGTCGTTTTTTTTTGTGAACATTTCCAATTGCAATTTGGCATATTGCTCCGACAATGCGGTTTTCGTTGTAATAGCAGTTCTGCCATATTTGCAGGAGCAGAATGGCGTTGCTTGAATCAATATTAGAATTGAATGTTTCGCAATAGACGCAGCTTACATGCGGAAACGGGACACTTTCTTTCGAGGCGTGGCAGAAATTTCTACTGGGACATGACATTATAAGGGAAACGTGCTGCGCCCAGTTTCATTTTGTCCGTGTTAGCGTCAAGCACCGCGAAACATAACGATAAGCAATTGATTCTTACGTGTTTCTCTGATATATTCCCCATTTCTCCTAGCGATTTTGCGATTCTTCAACGTAAGAGAAGTCATTTTGGACTGTGCAGCCGACTCGCTATGTGCTGGCTCTAGGTTAACTGAGATTTCTCTTATTCAAATATGTTGCTAAGCTCAGTTACTGGAGCAACCACGCCTCCCCGCTCCAAAACAAAAAAAACAAAATAAGAACAAAAAAAACCCACGCAAACACCAAAAATACACCCCAGTCCGAACACCCAAGAACTTTTTCGTGGGTTTTTTTATATGCCAGTTCTGCATTCCAGCTGTCACTCTATTTCGTAAACGAAGAGGCGCCTGGCGAAGCTATAAAGCCGTTTTTCAAATTCTTAGCCAGCATTTTTTGGAGATTTAGCATTGTGTATCGCTGTATTTGGAGTTTTTATGAGCTGTCATGTCATGGTGTGTAGTTTTGAGTTTTAAACATATTTTCTAGTAGTCTAGTTTTTTTGATTCATTTTTTGAACCTCCTTCTTTATTTTAATTATTGCTTAGGATTTCAAAAACTCGCCACCATGCCCACATATCACCACGCCACCTCGAGCAGTGACGACGCTGCGATGTTGTCATCATTCCATGCACAAACGGGTCCAGATCCTTTGGGTTTGAGCCTAAGACAGGTACTAATTTCGCTTCGAATCTTCGATTTTTTTTGTTCCAACACATTTCTAACCCCTTCTTGTCTACAGCGGTTTGTTTCACAAATATGCAGTCACAAGGATTGCGAGAAAAGATCTCAATTTAATACGTGGTTACTACTTTTTTATATTATTTAGAGCACCAAGCAGTGTCGGAATCACACCGCCACAGCAGTGACAGCAGAGCGATCCCATTCTTTCAACAAACGGCATTGTTCCTTGAAGAATGTGCCTCTTCCTCAGGTTCGATATTTTAATTGGATGAGGTCAAAACTTTGCCCATTTTAAGCATTTCTCATTTTCTGTGATTTCTTCGACTCCTTTCCTGATCCTTATTCAGAAATTAATTGGTTATAGTAATAGTTTATCTACTTCCTCGAATTTCAAGATATTGACTACAGAGAAGTATTGAACAACTCATGGACACAGCATGAAGTGTTGTCATATATGAGGCTTATCTATGGGCGAACTAGTTGGTGACGTATTACTTTTTTCAATCTCACGACCAGTAATCCGTGAAAATATCTTATCGGGCGCAACGTTTTTCATAATATTGGTAATATGTATGTGAAACCAGCCCCGCGTTTGGCAGCTCTCATTGATTGATTAACTCCAAAACTGGGTCAATAAACCTCGAAAGTGGTGAACATTTTATTGCTCTAAGCGGGCGGTGTTTTAGTGTTTCAGTGCTTTTATCGTGGCTTAACCTTGAATATTTCTTTACAACTTACCATCTTCGAATAACTCATTGAGTCAGTGTTCATTCAAGAGTTCCCTTGTGTGTGTTTTTTTGGCGTTCCTAACTCTGGTGTGAATGCCTAAAAGCAAGGAGATATTCTCGGCGCCCTCTTGTCTAGCAAACGATCGATGCCCTGCGCGGCCATTACCATTTCTTCTAGTTGGACATGTCAGCTGAGAAGTAGAATTTTCGTGCAGTTCAAGAAATGAGATTGATCTGCATGGTTATACACGTGTTGTGTAGAAAGTATTTTCGGAAATTCTTTTATTATAGTTCACATTCCATTTGATTTTCATCGGTTCAAAAGCTACATTGGTTCCCCAATGAATTTTAGTGCGGCTACTATTTTGAACTTTACTTGTATTTCAATTGAATAAATAATTAACTGTAGTATCGCTATTTATTGAGCTGAGATCTAGGTCCTACCTTCGACGAGCTCGGGCAATTTGTTTTATGGCGATAGTGGAACGTACTCGTTGGATCGTGTACATCCAAAGCCTGAAAGAGAGCCTACATCAGTTTATGGTAAGTCTTTCACCGTCGTTTTCACTGTTGAGTTCTTAGTCTCGCCAGTATCAGGAGCAAATTTCATGTTCATTTAAAAAAAATTGTCGTATGCTGCGCGCAGCTCATCACCATGTATTTTTAAAGGGTCCACAAATGGTGAAGGCGTTGAAATTCACTGGACCAATGTCTCTGGCTTCGTTTCTGTGATTTCTTACTATAGCTGCTTCTTGTCAAAAGCAATGATCTCATTTTAAGATGTGCCCTGTGAACGTCGCGGGAGCAGCAGCGCTTGTGCGGAGTCCCGTGAATCGGTGAAAACGATTAGATGTGGGAACTTAGAGTTGGTTGAATCCGCTGAGCAGGTAATCGTTATTGTACTGGATCACAGCTATATGTGGTGTTGAGTCCTTCTATGCCTACTTAAAGATGAGAGTT